GCCCCTGAGGGGTGCTGGGGCCTGAGCAAGACCCGCCTGTCCACACCAGGCCCTCTCCAGGCCCCAGGGGCAAGGCGGGCGGGGGGCGGGCGGCAGGAGGCGGCGCGGACTCCATTGGCTCAAAGTTGTTGCAGCGGCGTGGCTGTCTGCATAGGCAGCCGGCATCCTGGAAAGCACGCCGGCGCGGCCCCGCGCACCCCGCGCACGTAACGGCCCCGCGCCCGCGTGCGGCTGCCTGGCCTCCATCTTCCCGCGCCGCCCGCCCCGGGGTCCCTTCGGCCGGTAGGCAGCCCCTGACCGGTAGGCGGACCCCGGCGGGCTAAGGCGACGCCCGGAGCCCAGAGCCCGCGACCTTCGTCCCCACAGCCGCTGCTCATCCGCCCCCACCCACCACGCGCTGGAGCTGATACTGTGGGAGCAGCAGCGCGGGACTGGGCCCTGGAAGCCCGCTGGAGCCGGGACCCAGGCCCCTCAGCTGTGTGCGCGCTGCGGGGAGGGGCGGGCGGGTGCTGGCAGGGGGCCTCGGGGTTGGGGGGGCGTGCGTGTGGGCTGCAAATGCCGACTTTAACGTTTGACAGTGCCTAATAATAAAGTGTTTATGAGAAAAGCTATGGAGTTTGCCAAGGGCCGGGATCAGGAACATGTTTTTGTAAAGAGCGCCCTGGGCGGGTCTCCCCGCGGGAGAGCAGTGACCAGGGGCTGGAAGCAGGCATCACCCTGACTCAGCTCCTTTTATCTCTATCAGGGAATGGTCCCTTCTCTCTCTTCCTCATTGGCTTAGCAGCTTGGCAGGCAATAGCCGAACTCCACATGGCGTCTAAAGAGTGGGGTGATGAGGATGAGTGCTGTTGGGCAGATTTAGGACAGGGGAGAGGCAGTGCCGTTGTGACAACAGCCAGCCTTCCAGGACCTGAGACGGGGGAGCACTGTGGACCAGGCATCGGTGGTTCCAGAGCTGCTGAAGGCTACAAAGGGAACGTGGTTTGTAAAGCAAGCTGAGCACTTGACCTACTTTGGGGTTCTTGTGACCCTCTGTCTCACGTGCTACTGAGGCCTAGTATCATGGCTGCGCTGAGGCTAGGCTGAGTCTCGTACAAAACTACGCCGTGGGTTATTTCTCACACAGCCCCTCCTTTTCTTTATAGTATTTGGTATTTTCATTTATACTCTGGCATTAAACTGGTTTAAGAGTGCCTGACTTTCTTCTTTCTACTCTGCATCCATTTGTAACAGCAGTACATGGTTCTGTTGCTATGTTAATGGCATTTGTTTATTAATTGTCACTTGTATTAGTCTTTGGGCAAATCCTTTTATACAAGGGGCAGTACAATATCCTATGGCAGTTAGGGACCCTGGTCACAGTCCTGGTTAGAATTGAGGCTGCCATTCTCCAAGCCAGTCCTCCAATCATCCTGCAGAAGATTCACTACTCCCTGAATTTTGAACTAATTCATTAGCCAGGGCCCTTAGGCCTTGTAAGGCTCTACTAATGGATCCACTAGGTACAGCATCATTAGGAATAAAAGTGCAACTTTGCCCTCTCAACTTTACACATACGTTCCCAAGTCATCCTGCTGGTGGCACTAATTTGTCTATTTCCTGGAGGGCATCAAAGGTATAATTAATAAACCTGTTGATTATAGTAAATATAATTAGTCCAATGAATATTTGTGTTAATGGTTGACCACGAGAAGAGAGAAGACTCAAGTCCCACTGCTATTTAGTTTTGAGCCTTGAATTCACTAAGGACCTCTCAGGAGACCCCTAGTGAGTCTGGGTATGCATGTAGGTTAAGATAATCTGGTACTGGTGACCTCCGGGATGGACGATGGTCAACAGTGTGGGATAGGTTCTGAACACCAGGTGAAAGGCGGCACCAAGTGCACCAGGACACAAGTCCCTGTCCAACTTGACGGCGACCGGCCACAAACCACCAGACATCAGCCCTTGGTGTGCTTAAGACGGAAGAGTTGTTGCTATTCGACTCAGCCGAGACATCTGGGATCCGGCACGGGTTGAGAGCTCTGCCACAGGCTGACTGAGCTCCATCCCCTGCGTGGAGAGACAGGAAGGGCATGGAGAGGGAAGGAACAAGTGCCCGGGAGCAGGACCTTGCTGGGCACAGCAGCGACAAGCCCCTGCAGGTCTCGTTTCCTCGTGCATCCTTGTCTTGGTGTAGAGCCAGCGTACAACTCACTCCAGCCGCAGCGGAGTCCCATCTGAGAGCGAAAGGGACCAGTTGTGCCTGTGGCCATCCGGCCGGACATGTGTAACAGCTGCCTTTATCAGTGGCCTGTATTGAGAATTGTACCCATTCAACCCAGGCATTTATTTCCCCATATCTCATCTCTATTTATAGAGTTTGTCCTAATTTTTTCATTTTGGATCTACTATAGAGATGATCTAATTGTATAACCTTGCTAGTGGAGACTTTGAGCATAATTAAAAGGCTCAGTACAAGAAGCATATTCATCAAGCCTTGAATATATGATGAGAAGAAAAAGTATTCCCTCTAAACACAGAAAATATAATACTGTAAAAGCTACTTCAGGCCGGCGCCACGGCTCACTAGGCTAATCCTCCGCTTGCGGCACCGGCACTCTGAGTTCTAGTCCCGGTTGGGGCGCCAATTCTGTCCCGATTGCTCCTCTTCCAGGCCAGCTCTCTGCTGTGGCCCAGGAGTGCATTGGAGGATGGCCCAAGTGCTTGGGCCCTGCACCCGCATGGGAGACCAGGAGAAGCACCTGGCTCCTGGCTTCGGATCGGCGCAGTGCACCGGTGGTAGCAGCCATTTTGGGGATGAACCAACGGAAGGAAGGCCTTTCTCTCTGTCTCTCTCTCTCACTGTCTAACTCTACCTGTCAAAAAAAAAAAAAAAAAAAAAAAAAAGCTACTTCAGTAAATCGGGGGGAGCAGTCACAACTCCAAAGCTAGGCTCAGGACCGTTTTTACCAACAGAGCCCTAGGGGTAGAAGATCATTAAATAAGACCCGTATTAAGATCCTACACGTAATTATAGTCTTTTAAAACTCACTTTTAAAGGGTTGGCAGGGAACTGGTGGACCTCCCACTGCGTGTCTCCTTTGGAGTCTCGGTTATTGGTCCCTTGACTTGGGCACAATGAGTCCCGGCCTTTTCAGCACTCCTCACAGCAGTCAGCAGTCAGTGGTCTGGGCAGCCAGGAACGCTTGGTAGGACCCCTCCCAGTATGGCTGGAGTTTGTCTTCTTTTCACGTCTTAACCAGCACCAGGTCACCAGGTTGGAAGAGATGAACTGAGAATTTGAGACAAACCAAGGATATGGTCAGAATATATTATTTTGAAAAATTGATCTTTGGTCCCCGTGGTGGGGAGATTGTGGTCCTGCGTGAGTAATTCATAAGGAGATAGCTCCACTTAACTTCCAAGCCCTTCATGATGTCTTTTAACACTGTCCATGTAAAATGACTTGGGTTATCTGAATCAGTATTTTCTTTCTACCAGATCAAATCTAAGTATGATCTATTTGAAGAATATTTTAATAACATTTCCAGCAGTGGCCATGGTAAGAGGATAAGCCTCCACCCACTTGGGAAATGGTGTATAGTGACAAGCAAATATTTTAATCTCCCGACTTTAGGCTTTTGTTTCTCTTCCTCTCTTGGGAAGACTTTGAGCTTTTCCTAAAAATTCTTATGTGGCCAGCTTTTAGTTACAAAGCTGATTTTTTTTTTTTTTTTGACAGGCAGAGTTAGACAGTGAGAGAGACAGAGAGACAGAGAGAAAGGACAAAGTTGCCTTTCAACAACTCTTGTCCCAGCTGACTCTCAGGGTCCAGTCCAGAGCACTTCTGCCTCTTATCTTTGAGCCTTGGTAAGAAAGCAAAGAGGGTGTTCTCTTTTTCTCATTGAACTTCAAATGCCTTGGAGACCTTCTGCAATCTTGGGGTTGACGTGCTAATCCCCTTAGATCTTGCATTTTTGCTGTTGTCCCATTGGGGATCTTCCTTTGGGAACTTGTCCTCAGCTGAGGAGACTCCCAGCCCAGGGGAGTGTTCTCTTTCCCAAATGGCCCTAGCCGCCCTGCTGATCAGACGCCCTGCATCTCCTGTGAACAGTATGTTCACTGTGGACATCGTTTCAACCCAGGTACAGCAGCTGGGACCCAGGAATTGGTCTGATTGTCCAGACCAAGTGGGTCTTCTAGAAGTAGCCTCATTTCTTCCTTAAAGTTACTGACCCCAGTACGTGCAAGAGGGACATCAACAAAGCCAACTGGGACTTCCCAGAGTGGGTACACAGGAGATGTCATCTATTTATGTAGACAGAATAGAGAAGTCGCTCAAATCCTTTTTTGCTTTGTCATTCTTCTTGGAATTTCGGTTATAAATCTTTTAGAGCTGTGAGTTCACCTGGGGACACCATGAGCGAGTGGACACTGACTGCAGACACACGTGCGGACTCCCCAGCAGGGCCACAGTGGTCAGTAGCTGCTGGGGGTGCTGACCACAGTGTCTCCCCCCACACACACACACAGGAGCAGTAATTGTGGGGCGCAAACAGGTGGGGAGACCCCGCCCAAGGTGTCATTTCTGAAACACGTTCCTGATTCAGGCCCTTTGGCACACTCCATAGCTTTTCTCCTAAATACTTTATTATTAGAAATTTCAAATGGAAAAGTCGGATTTGCAGCCCGCACACACACGCCTCTCCCCGCACCGCGTCCACAGCTGAGGGGCCCGGGTTCCGGTTCCAGATGGCTACAGAGCCCAAGTCCCGCGACTGCTGCTCACACAGCGCCAGAGGGGGATGAGGAGGGGGTCCTTGCGCCCCAGACCGGCTGTGCAGAGGAAGGCCGCCGCAGCCCCCCTGACTCCGCCTAACGGTCAAGGAGGGCGGCCAAAGACTGAGGCCTGGCGGGTGCGTGCGGGCGTGGGGCCGTTAGGTGCGCGGGGTACACCGGGCTGCGCTCGCGTGCGCTCCTGGGCGTTGACCGCGGACTCTGTCGAAGCCAACGCCAACGCCGCCAACGCCGTCCGCCCCCGGCCTGCGCTGCTCCAGGACAGCGGGTAAGTGACGGCCGACCTGCCCAGCTCTACCCGCACGGTCGCGGTGGGGACGGCGCCCTGGCCCAAGCCGGCCTCCCGTTCCCTTCCGAGTTCGCGGGACCCTCCCTGCGAGCAGGTGTCGGCCCTGCCGGCTGAGAGAGGCGCGGGCTCCCCGATTTTGATTTTGAGCGTTGCCTCCTCCGGTCGAGGTGTGCGGGGCGGGGCGCGGGTGCGGGCGCGGCGGGGGAGGAGGTGATGCGGGGCTCCTTCGCTGGGGAGGGGGCTGGGCTTGATCGCTGGGGAAGGGGCTGGGCCCTGTTGATCCTGTGGTTTGCCTGGAATGACCCCCGGGAGAGGGTGAGGCAGAGGCCAAAGCTGGGTTTCAGAAAAAGTGCTGGCCCCTCGCAGCAGCAGCGGGGTTGGGTGGGCACTGGAAATTCCTGGCAGCCGGCATGGACACTGGGAGTGGGGAGCGGCAGGCAGGGTCTTTTCGGGGCTGTGGGATGAGGGAAGCGGCCTGGGTAAAATCCACAGGGACCGAGCTGCGGGCCGGTGACAGGAGGAGGCACAGGCTGCCGCTGAGCTGTGGTGGCGGCAGACTCTCCCAGAGGCACGGGGGTCGCCGAGGGTGGGCGCACTGCACAACCACGTGTCTGCTGGAAGGGAGGAGCGGCTGCTCCCCAGACGCGGGGTCGCGCAGGAAAATGGGCGCGGACGTTCAGAGCGACAAGGAGGCTCCCGCGTGGTGTCCATCACCGGGGAAACCGAGGTGCGGGGAGGGAGGTGCCCAGCGCAGGTGCAAGCTCTGTCCCCACTGCAGAGCTGGGGTGAGGGGCGGGGTGAGAGGGTGGGAGGATTCCCCCCCCCTCCCTGGGCAGTGGGCTGTGCTTGGGGAGGGGCCAGAACGGACCCTGTGAGGCCCAGGTAGGCTGGGGCTCCTGGCCAGGAGGATGGGGGTGAGGGGAGGCCAGTGCAGCTGGGTCTTCCTGTTTCTGAAAGCCATGGCAGACTTGACAGTGACTGGAGGCTGTTTTGAAGAAAGAGGGAATTCCATGCTCTTGAAGTAGAGGTGAGGCTCCAAGGTCTCCTGTGAGCCCAGAGTGGAGCGCCCTGGGCAGCAGTCAGGCCACTGCCTTCTCCTGCTGGCTCCCCGGGGCCTGGAGAGGGCCTGGTGTGGACAGCGGGTCTTGCTCAGGCCCCAACACCCCTCAGGGGTGGGGAGGGGTGGGGTGACCTGATGCAGCCGCCTCCTCCCCAGGCAGGGCCCTGGGCTGTAGCAGGTGTGTGGGGAGGGCAGTGGCCCACTGAGAAACACAGCTCAGACACAGGAAGCTCCCCAGCCAGGAAATCCACCTCATGGTTGAGGGCGACTGCAGATCGCAAGCCGGGGTTTTCCGCTTGGCTCCTTTCCCTGATGGCTGGGAAACCTTGGAAAGTGTCCTGTCTGCTTTGAGAACTTTGCCCAGTAGAGCTCAGACGGACTCGTGTCAAATGCTCTTTCCTTCTGGGAAATCGAGTTTGAGAGCGACTTGAGCATCTCCCCCACGTCTTAAAGGACTGTGTGTGTCATCTTAGGCTGTGGGGTCCAGGCCAGGGGTGGACGTCCAGGGGTGAATGCTCTGGGTTCCCAGGAGGGAGCCGTGCTGTGCATTTCAGAGGTGCGGGCCCTGTCTCAGAGCATGGGGGTGTACCACATTCTGCTCCCTAAGGATTTTTATCCTGACTGACAAGGAAGAGACTTGAAGAAAATATTTATTTTTTTAAATTTATTTATTTATAACACAGAATTACACAAAGAGGAGGAGAGAGAGAGAAAGAGAGAGAGAAAGAGAGAGATATCTTGCATCCACTAGCTCACTCCCCAAATGGCCAAATCGGGGGAATCTGGGCCAGTCTGAGGACAGGAGCCAGGAGATGCTTCCAGGTCTCACACGTGGGTGCAGGGGCTGAAACTTGGGCCTTCCTTCCCTACTTTCCTAGGCACATTAGCAGGGAGCTGGACTGGAAGGAGAGCAGCCAGGACTTGAACTGACGCCCATATGGGATGCCAGTGCTGTGGATGGAGACTTAACACACTGTGCCAAAGCGCCAGCCCTGGAGTAAACGTTAACTTAAAGGAACAGATACTCTTTGTTCCTGGGGAAGGTGAATTAGCATTTTTCACTACAAAGACCTGGAGAGTCTGAGATAAGAAATGCAGAATGGGTGAGCATTGCCTCATGGGTCGAGGGCAAGTGAGGCTCCCATGTCCCACACTGGGGCACCTGGGCTCAGTTCCCAGCTCCATTCGTGATTCCAGCTTCCTGCTAATGCAGACCCTGGGAGAGGATAGTGATGGATGAAATAATCGAGTTCCTGTCACTCACCTGGGAGACCTCATTGAGTTTCTGGCTCCTGGCTGCAGCCCCAGCCACGGCATTGAGGGCGTTTAGGGGTGAACAGGTGGATGGGATCTCTCTCTCTCTCTCTCTCTCTCTCGTTCTCTATCCCCCTCTGTCTCTCTTTCTCTGCTTCTCAAATAAAAACCTTTTAAACACTACATATAGAGCAGATGGTGAGGAGTGACAGCAGCCGGCACAGTGGATGCGAGGCACCTGCCTCTCTACTGCTCCCTTGAACTTCACTGCAGGCCCATGGAGCAGCGGTCACCTCCTTTTACAGATGAGGACGCTGAGGCTCAGGGACATGAGTGAGTGACCCTGAGACTGTGCAGGCAGCTGTGGCCTAGACGTCAGCCTGCCTCCCCAATTCTCTGCCCCTTTCCTGCCCATGTTAGGGAGCAATCCCCAACCTAAGTGAAATCTGTGGTCATTTTTGTCCCTCACTTTGCTGTCTACAGATGTGGATTACGTCCCCTGGGTAGACTTGAACCTGCCCTGGCTCCTGCATAATGCCTGGTTCTTCCTGTTGTCATGGAAAAGGAGCTGACTCCAGATGCAGGGTCTCAGGACAGAGATGGGGAGTGTGGCAGGAAGATGGTTCCTTACAGGTGCTGCAGGGCCCCTGCTGTTTAAAGGAGCATTTTAAAGGAAGCAGACCTGTGTTGTGGAGTTCTCCTGCGCCCACACCTGGCCCTTTCTTCCTCAGCCCCAGCGTTCCTCCCATCATGGATGTCCCCCTGGTCCTCACGGGGTCCCTACCTAGTTCCCCCTGTTGGTGACTGAGTCTCCACCACCTCCCCTCCCCCAGGCAGTATCTGGGTATGGCCTGGGTCCACGTGCTGCTGCTTTATTTTTTGAAGTAGTTTTTTTAAATTTTTTTTTGACAGGCAGTGTTAGACAGCGAGAGAGAGAAAGACAGAGAGAAAGGTCTTCCTTCCATTGGTTCACCCCCCAAATGGCCACTACCTCCGGCGCGCTGCACCAATCTGAAGCCAGGAGCCAGATGCTTCTCCTGGTCTCCCATGGGGTGCAGGGCCCAAAGACTTGGGCCATCCTCCACTGTACTCCCGGGCCAATGCAGAGGGCTGGACTGGAAGAGGAGCAACTGGGACAGAATCTGGCACCCCAACTGGGACTAGAACTGGGGTGCCAGCGCCATAGGCAGAGGATTAGCCAAGTGAGATGCGGCGCCAGCCTTTGATTTTTTTTTTTTTTTAAAGAGCAGTTTCAGGTTCTTCCAAAATTGGGCTGAGTGTCATAGGCTTATACCCCCGCCCCAGCACAGGTAAGGCCTTCGCCAGGATCACCATCAGCACCACAGTGGTGCAGTTGTTACAGTCCATGCACCTGCTTTGATACCTCCCAGCCACACCACATTCAGCTCTGCCTTGGGCATGAGTCCTGGTGCTGTCTGTTCTGTGGGTGCTGACAAATAGGCAATGACAGTGCCCTCATGACTGTGTCATCCAGAATTGTGTCAATACTGCTTCACTCACTGCTGTGGGAGGAGCTTGATAAACTGCAGATGTCACAAAGCTTCCGTTAGAAATTAATTTAATTCCTGCACTTTCTGGCCAGGGTGTGACTGGTGGCCACGGAACAGAATTTCTGCTCTTACATAGATATCCGGGCTCCGAAAGAGTCTAAAACAGAATATTTCTATAATTTACAGTGGAACGGTCTTTCTGAGTACGGTACCAAACCTAGGAGGCCTCGGGAAAGGATGGATCAAATTCACTAGAAATAAAATTGGCGTAGCAAAACCACTGCTCACGAAAGACAGCTTTCCAACCAGAAAGAACATTTGTACTTTGTGTTAAAGATTAACAATTTCCCTAATACGAAAACTCTAAGTCAATAGGAAAAGAGCAAGAACTTTGAGGATAGATGGGCCGAGGGTAAGGAGCAAACAGTTCCTGGAAGAGAAGTGGGTGGCTCCTAAGCCCCTGAGCGGTGTGTGCTGTGGTGCCTAAGTGGGTCAGTGCAGTCACCTGTCTGGGCTGGTGCTGGGTGCTGGCAGGGAGGCCGGGGGAGGGGGAGCAGCTCGGGGAGTGGGTGTCCGTTCCCCGCAGGGGGCACCTTGCCAGGGTCTGAGGAGTTCATGACCCCCAGGGTCTCTCCCTCCCAGATTCCCACGTGCAGAGTGCGCCCTTCAGTGCCACCCACAGCTCTGCGCTGGGCACCGTGTGGAAGAGCACAGCAGTGCCCACCAGGGGGCCACTGAAGGGAATCCTGGGTGCACCTGCACCTGCACCGCGGGTGCTCTGCGCAGAATGTGAGGAGGAGCGGTCTGTGTGGCTGAGTGGGGCGAGGGCCGTCTCAAGGCCTCGGCACAGGGCCGCTGCGGGCTCACAGGAGCTCCCGTGTGACGTGGTCAGGTCTGGGCCGTCCTCAGGGCCGTGCAGGTATTTGCTGTGGATGTGTTGCCTGAGTGGGTGAGTGAGGCGGGAGGGGGCAGCAGGGCCTCTGGGGACAGCAAGCCCGGTGCTGGGGAGAGGCAGAAGAGGGATCTGTATGGAGGGGTGGGAGCACTCGAGGGGGAAGCAGGCCGTCAGGCTGGGTGGGAGTGTGGGGCCGTGATGGTGGTCTTGGGAGCTAGGCTGGAGAGGGTCCAGCCAGCGTGCTGGGAGCCCTAGCAGGGCGGGGATGGCAGTGCGTGTGGTGAGGACACTCGTCAGGGGTGCGTGAGGGGGAGCCGGGCCTCACTTCTGAGCCTCCACTCCAGAGTCCTCTCCTCGCTCCCCCCCCCCCACTGTGCAGCCTGACCTGCACGTGGACGGTCACTCCCCAGCCCCCGCTGTGTCCCCTGCCCACAGTGGGTGGATTCGGGGGCCACCACCTAACTAGTGGTGAGTCCTGGATCGCCAGGCTCAGTTCCTGTAGAGAGGGAGCCCCCAGGGATCCAGATCTGCCTCTCAGGTGTGGGTGCTCACGGCTGCTGCCTCCGGAGTCTCTCGCTGTTGACTGTGGGCCAGTGGCATCAGTGGCCTCATCGTGGAGACCCAGGAGTTAGCAGGATCTGCCAGTTCATGGAGAGATGATTTGAGGAACAGACCTGGGTTTTCATCCTTTGTGTGCCTGCTGTGTCTCTTAGGGCAGGACAGATGTTGACCTTAAAGTGCAAGGTGCAGGCGGGCGCCGCAGCTCACTAGGCTAATCCTCCGCCTTGCTGCACCGGCACACCGGGTTCTAGTCCCAGTAAGGCGCCGGATTCTGTCCTGGTTGCCCCTCTTCCAGGCCAGCTCTCTGCTGTGGCCACAGAGTGCAGTGGAGGATGGCCCTGCACCCCATGGGAGACCAGGATAAGTACCTGGCTCCTGTCATCGGATGAGCGAGGTGCGCCGGCCGCAGCGGCCATTGGAGGGTGAACCAACGGCAAAAAAGGAAGACCTTTCTCTCTGTCTCTCTCTCTCTCTCACTGTCCATTCTGCCTGTCAAAATATAAAAAAATAAATAAATAAATAAAAATAAAAGTGCAAGGCGCAGCCGCTGCCTGCAGTGCTGGCATCCCATGTGGGCTCTGGTTTGAGTCCTGGCTGCCCCATTTCCAATTCAGCTCTCTGCTATGGCCTGGAAAGCAGTGGAAGTTGGACCAAGTGCTTGGGCTCCTGCACCTGAGTGGGAGACCCAAAGAAGCTCCTGGCTCCTGGCTTCAGATTGGTCATTTGTGGTCTGAACCATTGGATGGAAAACCTGTTTATCTCTCTTTCTCTCTATCTCTTCCCTTCTCTTTGCCTCCCTCCCTCTCTGTAACTGCCTTTCAAATAAATCTTTAAAAAAAAAAAAATGCTGATTGCACCTGACAGGTGTTTGGAACGTCTGGCTCACAGGCGCGAAATCGATCGGTCTGGTCCTGCCAAGGCAACCACAGATGGGACTCAAAAAATAAACCTATAGCAGCCTAATTTTTAGTTTGATAATTTTGCGTGGTCTGCAAACGATGTTATAAATGCCCAAATAGCCCTTGGCAGAAGAAAGCTTCTGCTCCCCTGACCTAGAGCCATAGACGTGGGGTGAGCTGGCCGAGGAGGCAGGGCTGGGCGTGCAGAAGGGGCACGGGGGCGAGTGCCGGGTGCTGGTGTGTGAGGGATGCCCGGCTGTCTCCCTGGAGGTCTCCCCGAAGGACTGATAGGAACACTGCTGCCCGGATCCTGGTCCTCTATCATTTTTACATTTCCCTATGCTGTGCTGAGAACAGTGAATGTGAGATCTGCCGTCTCAGGCTTCTCAGCGTCTCTGGAACTTCTTCATCCCACAGGCACCTGCTCGTGCAGGGTCACGTAAGGAAGTCTTTGCTGCCCAAGGCCACTGCCTCCCTGCCCCTGGCAGAGTTTGCTCCACTGGGCTCTTTGCCATTGTTCTGCCAGCAGGGGAGGCTGCATTGCCGCTGGGGCTCTGAAAGGGTTACTCAGGGAGATCCGAACTGTGTATAGTGCACAGGTGCACAAAGGGTTAAGTCATTCAGGCATGGGATGAATCCTCATTTGTTCCAAGGATATCTTTATAACATTTTTGGGAAAAAAAAATCACAAAATATTTGACAGTATTCCTGAACTGTAAGTTAGCTAATATAATACAAAAAGCAAGTGAGTTTCTACCTCTTTGATGTGAAAACCTTGTATAAATGGAGCATGTATATAAATAGAATTGAAGCTGCCTAATTTGAGGTTTGGATATTTGTATTTGATTCGTATTTAAAATATATCTGTTGTGATTTTGTGCTTAATATTATCCCTAGAATAAAAGATAAATGGGATCCCAGTTCATCTGTGCAGATGACACTTTTGCATTCCTGGTCCAATTTAAGAAGTAAATCAGGGGCTGTCGTCAAGGCACTGAGTAAACCACTATATTGGGATGCCTGCATTCCATATCAGAGCACCAGTTAAAGGCCTGGCTACTCTGCTTCTGACCCAGCTCCCCGATAATAACGTTGAGAGGCAGCAAATGGTGGCCCAAGTCCTTGGGTCTCTGACACCCAAGATCTGCATGGAGTTTCTGCCTCTTGGTTCTATCTGGTCCTGCCCTGGCTGTTGTGGGCATTTGGGAAGTGTACCAGTCGATGTTGGAAAGGTAGAGTTACAGAGAGAGATCTTCCATCCTCTGGTTTACTCCCCAAATGGCCACAACAGCCAGGGCTATGCGAGGCCTCAGCCATTAGCCAACAGCTTCATCTGGGTCTCCCGCATGGGTACAGGTGCCCAATCACTTGGACCATCTTCCTCTGCTTTCGTAGGCACATTAGCAGGAAGCTGGGTCAGAAGTGGAGCAGCCAGCACTTGAATCAGTGCCCATATGGGATGCTGGCATCACAGGTAGCGGCCTTACCCACTACACCACAGTGCCAGCCCTGGGAAGTGTACCTTTAGTAGTAGATTTCTTTCTCTGTCTCTTTCTCTGCCTTTCAAATATATGACAATAGATTTTTATTTTATTGTATTGGAGGATTGCAGTTTTTATTAAGAAAACAAGAAGGCAACCGAAACAACAAAGGAGCACTTCCGTTCCAGTGGCACCCAAGTGCTCTCGGCATCCTGAGCTGCAGGAAGGGGCTGGGGACGGCCTCCATTGCCGTCCTACAGGCAGACAGGCACCACGTGTGTGCCCCTGGCATCCGGGCCCAGCTGCCACCTGTCCTTTGTCAGCGTGTACAGATCGTCAGGACCTGGGTGAGGGGGCAGGCAGTGGGCAGAGGGGCGCACAGGCCCAGAGAGGACAGGCAAGGACCCCAGCCTAAAGCCTGCCCTCCTTACTTCTTGCACCCTCCCTGCAGCCTTCCTCAGATGCGGCAGAGACCACACGCCCAAACAGTGGAGCCAAACAAGAATACAGCTGGACCGACCTGCCGCTGACCAGAGACACAGGCCACTGTCACAGGGCAGTGCTCACCCTGCAGCTGGGGGGAGGGGAGGCTGTGGGGGAAGGGACCCCAGGAAAGGGCAGCAAGCACCAGGGAGCTCTTTTGAGGCTGCTGTTGTCACCTGGCTGGCCTGGGCAGGCGGAAGGAAGCAGCCGCCATGTGGGAACCTGCTCCTAGGTCCTAGGGCCCAACTGCTGTCAGCTCAGCATCCTCTCCTCCCTGTGCGGTTCCTTAGGGACTGAGCTCTGCTGAAGAGGGCGCAGCAGCAGCCCCCACTCTGGGGCTGAAGGTGCCTGGGGCCCACCTCCCTCCACCTTCCCATCTGCCCAGGCTGTGGGGCCTGTCCCTTTGAAGACAGGAGGGCCAGCTGGTGGCCTCTGGAGAGCCCCAGTTGGAAGGTGGGCAGGGAGCAAGCAGTGTGGGCAGAGGCACCAGCAGGGCTCCCTCACTGCCTTCCTGCCAGGACCCAAGAACTGTCCTGTCCAGTTGTTGCAGTGACATAGGTGTGGCGGGACACCCTCCGTCCTGGCTTGGTGTCCCCTAACTGCCTCCATCTGGTCCGGATGACCTGAGAGTGGTGGGCTGTGGGGGCAGGGCGGGGCAGAGCATAGGACGCCCCGTTCCCCTCATGCGTGGGCAATGGCACCAACCACCACGAGGTTAAGCAGCAAGCCCAAGCCCTTCAGGATCCACCTGGTGGAGAGGGAGGGGAAGGCGTGAGGTCAGCACCTGTGCTGAGCTGTTGGGACCCAGCCTGGGGACCCCCAGGGATGGAGAGGGGACTAGGGAGGGCCCGGGAAGGGCATGGTGATAGCTGAAGTCCTCTGCTCAGGGCCAGATGGCCAGCGTTCTGACACGTGGGCACCTCCAGGATGTGGGAGCAGCAAGCGTCACGTGTTCCTGCTTCTGCCAGGCACGCAGGCTTCCGAGCGCTGTGCTCTCAGTGATTCTGATGCCACGCGCTGTGCACAGCGTTTTCTGCCCATCGTAGGACAAAAAAGAAACTGGAGATCAAATAGGTTGCTGAGTAAACCAGCACCCTGTGCGTGGTGAAGGGGGTGGGGCAAGCCCCTTTGACAAGTGAGCAAACAGAGGCTCAGAGCGGGTGCTGCTTGCCCAACGTCACCTGCCCAGTGAGTGGAAGAGAGGGAGCTGTAACCCAAGATGGTCGGAACTAAAGCCAGGCTCTTAGCACCAGACCTGCGCACAGCAGCACTTGACTTGGTTCCCACCTCTCCTTAATGAGCACCGCAAACTGCTAGGAGCTCCAGGGGACTTCATGATAAAGGAGCCCTAGCTGGGCAGAGGCCCAGGGAAGCACGTGCCTCTGGGAGACCCCTGGAAGGAGCATGGCGGGTGCGGGGGGACAGGCGCCAGGCAGCCCTGGGACGGTCAAGAGCTCCAGGCCTTCCTCAGAGGGAAAGGGTTTGGGCTTTAATCTGGAGCTGGGAGGAGCCACCGAGGTTCTCAGCAAACAGATTTTGTTTTTTCAAGATTTTGTTCATTTGAAAGGCAAAGAGAGAGAGAGAGAAGGAGAGAGTAAGATCTTTCATCTGCTGGTTCACTCTCCAAATGGCCGCAATGGCCAAGGAGCAACCGGGCCAAAGTAAGGAGCCTGAAACCCCATCTGGGTCTCCCATGCAGGTACAAGCGTTCAAGCACTTGGGCCATCTTCCGCTGCTTTCCCAGGCACATCATCAGGGAGCTGCACCAGAAGTGGAGCATTCAGGACTCAGAACTGGCACCCAGATGGGATGCCAACGTGGCAGGTGGTAGCCTAACCCACCACGCCACAACCTTGGCTCCTGGATTTGTTTTTAAAAGTTTTACTGGGGGGGGGGGCAGCGCTGTTGCCTGAAGCACTGGCATACCATATGAGCACCAGTTCGAGACCTGGCCGCTCCTCTTCCGATCCAGCTCTGTGCTGTGGCCTGGGAAAGCAGTAGAAGATGGCTCAAGTCCTTAGGCCCCTGCACCCACATGGGAGTCCTGGAAGAAACTCCTGGCTCCTGGCTTCGAATCGGCACAGCTCCGGCCGTTGCTGCCATCTGGGGAGTGAATCAGCAGGTAGAAGACCTCTCTCTCTCTCTCTTTGCCTCTTCTCCATCTCTGTAACTCTGACTTTCAAATAAATAAATTTAAAAAAAAGTTTTACTGGGGGGAGGGGTTTGTGGCACATGCAGTCAAGCACCACGTGGAATGCCCACAGTCCAACATTGGGGTGCTTGAGTTTGAGTCTGGGTGCTTTCAGCTTCCCACCTATGTGCACCTGGGGACAGCAGGTGATAGCTCAGGTACTTGGGTCCTTGCCACTGGGTGGGAGATCTGTCTCTTTCTGCTTTTCAAGTAAAATGGAAATTGATGAAAAAATTTTTAAAAGCGTTGCTTTGGCCGCTGCGTGGAGGTTGACCCGAGGGCAAGTGACTCCCAGGCATGGAGACTGCGCCCCCTAGGGGACGCTGCGTGATGTCTGCATCGCTGGTTGGCACAGCTGAGGGTGCTCCTGACTAGGGGCAGATGGAGGCCAGGGACGCTGCTCCACACCCTATAGTGCCCAGGGCTGTCTGGCCCCAGAGAATGATCCAGCTCCAGTGTCCAAGGGCTCAGTGGAGAGACCCAGGTTCAGGGGAGCAGGAGCAGAAAACAGTAAGAAGCTGGAGAGACAGGGCCACCCAGGAGGCAAAGTCGCAGGTCCTGACTCCGCCACGCCGCGGTGCCTTGGGCTTACATTGGTTGCATACCCCATGCTTCAGTTTCCCTGGCTAGAAGATGGGCACAGTAGTCTCCTCCTCCAGCATCATCAAAAAGATTACAGGAGGCGGTCCTTGTCAAGTCCAGAAAGCTGAGCCTCTGCACCTGCACCCCCATAGCTGCTGCTGCCATTGTTTGCATATTAATGTGTGAGGAGAGGCAGTCCGGGCAGGGTCTCCCTTCCTAGCCTTCCTGGAACTTCACCTGGGTCATCTTATCCAGGTACTTGGTCTGACATTTCTTTTTAATCTTACTTATTTAAGAGGCAGCATTACAGACGGGGAGAGGGAGAGGGAGAGGGAGAAAGAGAGAGAGAGAGAGAGAGAGAGAGAGAGAGGTCTTCCGTCTGCTGGTTCACTCCCCAAATGGCTACAATGGCTGAAGCTGGGCAGATCCAATACCATGAGTCAGGAGATTCTTCCGGGGCTCCCACATGGGTGCTTGGGCCATCTTCTACTGCTTTCCCAGGCCATATCAGAGAGCTGGATCAGAAGTGGGGCAACTGGGACATGAACCAGCGCCCATATGGGATGCTGGCACTGCGGGCAGAGGCTTAACCTAATGTGCCACACTTCCGGCCCCTGACTTTTTCTTTTTTTTTAAGAATGGTTTTTTTTGAATTTTCTTTTTCCTTTTTTTTTCTTTTTTCCCCAGAAACCTTTTATTTAAGGTATCCAAACTTCATGCATTTCGTAAGTACAAATCTGGGAACAGTGGTTCTTCCCACACTGCCTGCACTCCCACTTTCCATTTTGTTTTAATGGAAGCAGGTTGGCTTAGAATCTGGTAGTTTCAGACCTGGGCACCGCCTGAGCTGTGGGGAATCGCAGGGTCAGGCCTGGGCGCGTCCGTGGTGTGGTCGCCTGTCCTTTCACCCTAGTTTCTGGTTTTTTTTTTTTTTTTTTTTTTTTTTGATGCATTTTACTTATTGGAAAGGCAGAGTTAGGGAGAGATAGAGAGACGAGAGGGAGAGAAAGAGATCTTCCATCCACTGATTCACTCCCTACATGGCCACAATGGCTGGGGCTGGATCAGCTCCCAGCCAGGAGCTTCTTCCAGGTCTCACAAGTGAGTGCAGAGCCCAGGCACATGGGCTGTCCTCCGCTGCTTTCCCAGGCATATTTGCAGGGATCTGGGTTAGAAGTGGAGCACCCAGGACTCGAACCAACGCCTAGATGGGATGCTGGCACCATAAGCAGCGGCCTTACCGGCTATGCCATAATACAGGCCCCTATTTCCCGTTTTTGAGCAACTTCCCAACTCTGCCAGCGGCGTTACTGCTCACACCCCCATCCACGGAGTGCAGGGTCCCCTTTCCTCCACACATCCTCACCAGCGCGGGTTATCTTTTGTCCTCAGTAATGGCCTGCGAGCTGCAGTGACAGCCCATCACGGTTTTGATTTGCATGTCTCTGTGATTAGTGATGAGCATTTTTCTCCTGTACTCATTGGCCATTTGTATGTCTTCCTTTGAGAAGTGGTTTCTTTATGTTCACTGCCCTTTTTTAATCTGAATTATTTGTTTTTTGCTTTTTGTTTTAGTTGTGCTGAGTTCATTTTATATTTGCTTGATTAACCCCTTTGTCAGCTGTGTAGCTTGCAAATATTCTTGATTTTTCCTTTGCTGTGCAGAAACCCTGTAATTTGGTGAACTCCTGTTGATCTGTCTTTGGCTTTGTCTCCTGTGCTCCTGGGGTCTCATCTAAGACATCCTTGCCCACTCCAGTGCCTGAAGCAGTCGCCCCTGCTTACTTCCAGTCATTCCGAGGGTCCAGGGCTTACACTTAGGCCTTTCTTCCGTTTTGATTTCCTTTTTAACCCGATATTAATCATCCGCAGCAGCAAGTAGCGTAGTGCGTGCTCGACATGACCGGGCTGTCTCCCAGGTGCCTTCATTGATTAGTTTGTTTGTTCCTGCCAGCAGCGATGCAGAGTTAGCTTCTGTGGTTAATCGCTGTCTCATAGTGAGGATACCGAGGTACAGAGGGGTTGAGCAGTTAGAAGTCGCGTCCCCAAGCAGGTTTTGACCCCTGTGTCGTGACTCAAAGACTGTGACTAAGTCCAGGCCTCGTATTGCCTGCCCTCCATTGCAAAGATGCTGCATGTCTCCCCCTGCCAGCTGGGTGTGGAATCCCCCTTCCAGTCTCCAAGAAAACCGTGGCCTCCGCTTCCTCCACGGTGCCCACACACATGAAGGAGCAGAGAGTCACCATGGGTTGCTCTGAGCACTTTCTGTTCCCAGCTTTCTTGGCATGTGATTTGCAGATCTGTGTCCGTTTGTGTCCATGTCGGTGACTCTGATACAGATCCAGGGCTGTGCAGCCATCAGCACGGTGGAGCTGCAGAACAATCCCGGAGCACCTGCAGGATCTCCTGCCTCTTGCACTGTTCCCTGTCACACCCCAACCTGGGGACACATCACAGAGACTGGTCACAGAGGTCCCCACACGTGTTAGTGGCGTCTCGCTTTCAGAGGCCCTTGCCTCTGACTACCCGGAGCCCCGCATCTTCAGGGCTTTCCTGTTGGGTAGTGTCACCCAGCGTGCCCTTCTGCGGAATGGAGAGTGCCCGTTGTGTGGAGAGACTGGACATTGAGTTGTGCAGCAGCTGACGGCCGTCTGATGACTTCTGCTTGCCGGTTGTGAGTGATGCGGTTATGAACATTCCTAGGCTCTTCTTTATGGAGACAGACATTTCCAGTTGTCTCAGGTGTGCATCTGTGCCTGGGAGCGGAGTTGCTGAGTCCTACAGCAACTCCATATTTCACCACTAGGACAACTGCTTGATGGTTACAGCGGCTGCTCCATTTCCCACTCCCACCATGGGGAGGGGTAGGTGAGCGTCTCCGTTTGTCCACATCCTGGACAACACTTGTTCTTCCCCCATTGTTTTAACTCCTGCCACTCAAGTAGGCTGGAGGTGGGGTCACTCTCTGGCTTCCATTTGCTTTTCCCTGGGGCCAGATGATGTAGAGAGTGTTTGGTTGTGTTCATCTTCTTGGGAGAGATGGTCGTTCAGATCCCTTACTCACTGACTGGTTGAGCTGTTCATTTTCCTCTTACATATTCTGGACAAACGTCCTTTATCAGATACATGATTTCGAAGTATTTTGTCCTATTCTGTGCCTTCTCTTTTTGCTTTGATAATGTGTTTCTTGAATCACAACTGTTTTAGATTTGGAAAAGTTACCATTTGTATATATATATATATATTTAATGGCTCATACTTAGATGATAATGTACCCAAAGTCTGTGGATCACTCAAAATTAGGAAGATTTTCTGTTTTCTTCTAAGTGATTTACGTTTTTGACTCAAGGTCAGATGCTCCATCTTGAGTTACATTTTAGAATTTATGAGGTGAAGATCTAAACGAGAGGCGTGGAAGCTTTTCCTGCCAGGGGCCATTTGGTGTTTATAGCCTCATTCGCCGTGTTTGCAAGTCTGCCCAGGATGCTCCCTTCTCTGGGCCTACTCATGTCTCCTCTGCAGATGCGCAAGCCTTCACACCTGCTCAGGGTGAGTAGACAGAAAGCACCTGCTCTTGTCTTTGCTAAAGTAGCACAGGCTCCCCCATGCACAGAAACTTCTAGATCACCAGGGAAATGTGGGAGATTTTCAGGGTTCGTATGTCTGCTTGATTCTGCTGTGTAAACTTGTGGCTAGTGCACTGTGGATTGGGGAAGTCCTGGGTGGCAGAGCTCTTGCTGGTGCACACATGTCTGTTGGACTGCCCTGAGTCTACCTGTTGGCAGGGCAGCTGGTCCCCAGAGGCCAACAGTGTGCACCAGGACACGTGCATCACTCCTCTCCACCTGTGGGCTCCCAGGGACTGTGAGGTTCTTCGTCTGTAAGCCAGAGCCGGCCAGCAGTACAAGAACATGAAGCCCTGGGGTGCCCTTCCCCAGTGGAGACGGAGCCTGTTCCGGTGGAACATGGTCTTCACCCCATGTGCCTGCTGCAGGTCTCCCTGGTCACACCCTTCCCTGGCGTTGCCCCTTTCCCTTCTGCTTGCACCTGGGTTCATCTCTAACAAAGGACCTGGCCCTGAAGCCTTGTCTAGTTTCAGGGATGTAACTCCTCCAGGCTCCATCCTAGCCGGGTGACTGGAGCAGGTCATCCCAGCCTCTGACCGTGAGTGTCCTCTCCTGTCTACTGGGGACTAAAGGCTGACTCATAAGGTTGTGAAAGGAGATGTGACAGGATGGTGATGGTGCAACAGGAACCAGTCCAAGGTCAGGGGTTCAACCCGCAGAGGCAGGGAGGCAGCAACCTACCCACGTGACAGGGAAGGTTGGTGACAGTCAAAAAAGGATGACACCAGAGAGGTTTCCAGAGAGAAAATTGCATGCATCAGCAAAAAAAGAGTCCTCAAGGAAACGCACTAGACCAAAGATTTATGCTGCAATTCTGTAATTTGTCAGAGAAGTTGTGTCAGTAATATCCACCCGGTCGACACTGCCTTCATGGTTCTTAGTTCCCAGAATCAGATCCTAGCTGTAGTGAGGAACTGTGTTTCACTGGGTATGCAATGTGCATTCATAGCTTAATGTCATTCTTCGTGATGACATGGCATGTGGGCCTTTTTATTTGATTGTAGTTCAAGTCACTCCTTCAGTACAGTGAGTGATTTCTGGAACCTGTCAGCCCGTCTGACTCCAGGGAGCACCCCGTCCACATATAAGAGTGGACAGGGGAGCCACCGGGCAGGGACCACTGCTGGTCATGCTCACTGAGGAAACCACAACCGTGGGCACACAGCAGGGGCAGTGAATGTTTGCTCAAAGAATGAGTACATGAATGAATGAATGAACAGGAGAAGCAGCCTTGGGGTGGGTCATACTGGGCACAGGGTAGGACCCCTATCTGTCCCTCCCACACCGAGCCCCTTCTCGTGGGAGGGCTGTCCCTCCCTGCACCTGTTCCACTCCCCTCCAATCACGCGGAGCATTCCTGGGCCAGGCAGAAGGAGGGGACACCTGCTGCCAAGTGGCCCTTCATGGGCAAAGGGCACAGGGCACAATCCCCACAAGTCTCTTCTCGGGGAATTCTGTCCACACCTTATCGGGAAGGCCTGGCTGTTTCCCATTTCACTCTTGGGGAAACGGAGGCCCAGTTGTCAGGGACGGCAACTAGAAAGATGGTGGACAGGACACCTGTTTCTGTGACTCTGCACCCTGAGCTCCATCCTGTCCACTGAGCCAGCTGTGGTCTCCATGGGGAGATTCCTGGCCTCCTGCAGCCTTTGTGGAAGTCAAGGTTGGTGTCACCGCATCCTGGGCTGCCCGTGTGCTTCCTGTACTGGCCCTCTGCTCTCGCGGTCACAGGTACGTGGCTTCTCTCTGGCACCAGGACCAGGGAACTGCAGGGCCTGGAGGTCCCTCCCCAGACAACTGAGCGTAGCCTCCTTTTGAGGGGGAGTCCCAGGGCTTCTGGCAGCTTCTGGTCTGAATCCTGAATCTGTTGCTGAGCACACTGCAGAGAGTGAGACCTCTGGCCTCAGTGGCCTGATCAGCGCAGTGGGACCTCCCCCACCCATGCTGGGGGGAAGGACAGACCCACGTAAGGTCAGAGGCCTGTAGGGGCTCAGCCCCTTCCGCTGGTCATGCTCAGATCGCCCCACAGCAGCCTGGGGCTCACATCTCTCTGGCTTGTGCCCACCCTGTCCCTTGGGCCGGGCCGGCCCACCTCTCTTAGACCCCACAGTTTCTCTAGAAATCAGGCTGCAACCCTAGTCATGCTGAGATGACTTGCAGCTCGGCTTCCTGGGGGGTGGGCTGTAGCCATCGGACCCCCAGGATCTGCAACTTGAGATGATCATGAGCTCCTGACCTTGTGTTCTGAACATTGACTGACCTGAACGGTTTCCCCTATACTCTAGGTGTCCACTGACATGCAAACTGTAGCTGGGGCCAGTGCTGGGTGCACAGTTGCCTGGGGCTCCTCCCTCCCAAGGCAGCCAAACTAAGCTACTGTGGGCTCCCCTGCTCAGGCTCTTCCACCCCCCCCACTCCCTCCAGGTGGACTGCACTGGGGCTCCAGGCTGACAGGTGCCCAGGGTGGGTCTGGTGGTGATCTGGGCATTTTCCGGATGGGGGCTCTCCTGTGGATGGTGACGTCTCTGGGTCTGATCCAGGCCATTCCCAGGAACACACCTGTCAGCTTCCCAGTGCCCCGGCTTCCTCCTCACAGCCCAGCCCCAGCCTAGTGGGCCAGCTGAGAAGCCCATTAAGAAAATGCCTGGGGCTGTAGCCTCTCAGAGAAGCTCACACCCTTCCTGCCCCTCCTGCCATGCTGTGGTGCACTCTCGCCTCCGTGTTTGCCCTTAGGGTCATGGCCCCCCTCCGACCCCAAAGTTGGGGCTCAGCATGAGGAGGGGAGGCCACACCTTGGCCCCACCACAGCTGAGACCTGGGCAGGGGCTTCCCTCTCAGAGCTGTTCCCCATCTACAAACCCAGGGTGACAGCAGTGGCTTTCCCATGGGTGACACGTGGTGCCCAGGGCCTGGCCTGGGCCCTGCACATCCCAGGAGGTCAGAGACGGGACTGGTCACTGTCGTTGGGGTTGTCCAGGATCCACCTGCACAGCGGGCTGTCTGGGGTCACGTGGGGGTCATGGACCCAGCCCACTTCCTGTCCTGTGCTGTGGACATCAGGGCTCCCACAGCTGGGCGAATCCCTGCTGTGCTTCTGCCAGCCCCCCTGCTGAGCACGGGAACAGGGACTGTGCTGGCTCTTGTGTGCATGGCCCCGACCCGAGGCTCTGCCCTCAGTGGGAGAAAGCCCCACCCCCGCTTCCTTGTTCCCACTATGCACTCCTCATCCCGGGAGCTGGGGGCTCCCAGTGTGTGCAGGGAGGGGCAGGCCGTCCCATTCCCTGTCCCTGTGATGTCTGGGGGCGGGGCTCCATCCCATTTCACAGATGGGGACACTGAGGCTGCATGGGCAGTCCCATTGCAGGTCAGTTCCATCTGACCCCAGAGCCCACCTCCCTGTCCATGAGGAGGCGCTGCCCCAACCATGACAGTGTCTCCCTGCTGGTTGTCTTCCTCGGCCTTCCCAGCAGTCACTGCTCCCTGTCCAAGACAGACAGCAGTGTCTGTGCCCTGGGAGGTGTCAGTGTCCCTTTCAGAGGATCTAAGATGTAGACGTTGGCCCCATTCTGCAGCGAAGCCGGGTTGGGAGATCAGCCTGGGGAGCTCACACTGTGCCGAATTGTGCACTTCACACTGGGCAGCAAACTACATTTTATTAATGAATATGGCAAACAAGGCAGAGAAAATGAGAATTATCGAAGAACATAAAAAATCATGAGACAGGCGAGGGACCTGTCTGGCACCAGGGATGGTGAAGGGGGCGTGTCCAGGGGCGGGGCCTGTGGGTGGGTCCAGAGCTGGGTCTACTGACTGCAACTTCATTGGCTGCAGCTCGGGTCAGTTTATCTCCAGCTCAGTTTCCTCACAAATGCATGGCCAAGGTACCTCCATCCCTGCATCCAGTGCTGTCAGCATTGCTGTCCCCTGGTCAGTAGCCCGCGTCACGGCGGTCCCCAGCACGTCCCCGTCCAGGGAGCTAATACAGCTCCAGCGTGGCTGTTGCTGGAAACTCAGGGCTCAGCCCCAGGCCAGCGGCAAGGTCTGGGGTTGGGAATGCCCTGACCTTGCTTCCACTGTGGCACAAGCAGAGCCATTTTGCCCCATGCCCCACATAGGGGACGGGCATCTGCAACCACCCCAGCTCTACTTCTGCTACCAAGGCAGCAGGCCTCCGTGGGCTCTCAGGTGGGTAACAGGCTCCAGAACGAACCTGGCTTAGGCGCAGGGCCTGGGCAGGGCTCTCTGCTGCTTCAACACTCAAATTTCAGGGTTGGCGGCCAGTGCTTGTCCAGGGTGGATTCACTGACAATCCCTACGCTGCTGTGCTCCTCCTGGTACTGGGCTGACTCATCTTGAACCTTGTGGATACATACAGGGTCCCTTTGAACTTGTCCCACCCATCAGGCTCTGGGCTCAGAATCCCAACAGACCCTTAACCCTGGTCCCTTCCCTTGCCCAGGGTGCAATGGCCCCTCATTCTCCCCACACACCAAGGGGCTAGTGGGCTGCCCAGTAGGGCCAGAGGCTTGCTTGGCTTACAGGGACCTGACCTGGCTGCCCTGGATAACCTGGCCACCTTCTAGGAAAGCACCAAGCAGCGTGATGGCTGGGGGCTGACCCAGCATCTGTACCACTGGACAAGGTGCCCAGATCCTGGTTTGCTGGAGCCTGCAGCTCAGCATTGTTGGAGACTACAGGAGAATATCTTCCATTGAAGATCTCAACCTAATGTGCTGGCTCTGACCAGCTTTGAAATGTGGGTGCTAGTTGCCAGAATACCCAGTTTTGATAGGTGGTCACCAAAGACAAGGTTAGCAAACACTTCTTCCGAAGATCTGATAGCTGCTAACCATGTCCCACAAACCCCACGCTTTGTCCCCACTGTCCACAGTTGCACCAGCATAACACACATCTGCCCCAGTGCAGGGCTGGGGGCAGCCAGTGCCACAGCTGGGAGGAGACAGAGCTGGGCTCAGACCTGCACCCTCCTCCTTGGCACAAGTGTGACCACACACAGGCCACTGTCCCTCTCAGCACATCCCAGCCTCCCATCTGGTCCCTGGATCATTTGCCAGTAAGGCTGGCGCCCTCCCCTGTCCTGAGGTGGAAGCTGAGGAGCGGGAGCCCCCATCACACCCTGGGACAGGGAGCCCCTGCTCTCTACATTGCGCAAGGTGAGCCACCACCCGCCCCGAGGGCCAGCTGCACCCACCCGCACCTGGAGAGTGATTCCACTTAGAGCCCAAAGCTGAGATGAGCTGCCAGGCTCAGGGGCTTGTGTGCATCTGGGGCTGTCTGCTCTGTGTGGCTGATGGTGGCTGACACTGAATGCCCGTGTCACAGCTCTGATGTGCACTCCGGAGGAAGCCCTGGGGTGGCCCTGGTGGCGTGCAGGATCCAGGGCTGGACCAGTGCGGAGTGTCTGCAGAGCCACCACCTGCCTCCCGGGGAGCTGGGGACAGGGCTGTGCTCTCTGAGGTCAGTGAGCAGCCTGGAGTCTCCTCATCAGGGCGGTGACTCTTTCACCCCCTGCCTGTGTTGATTGTTCCCTAGACTCCTGGTGCCGCACGTATTCTGTGGCACCACTGACTGAGCCCCCCATGCCATTGGTCACGTCATTCAGCCTTTGCTACGATGGTGGTGACATGCAGAGTGACCAAGGGACAGGACTCCACCCATGAGTCTTGGGGCACTCCGGGCCTCCCACTGTCTGCTTGTCCTGCCCTGTGTCCCAGTGGGCTGACCCCTGTGGAGTCTGCAGCTCTGTTCCTTCTAGGGACTGCCTGGCTTCAGGGGGAGGGGCTGGGGCTGGGGTGATGGTAGGCAGTAAGGTGGGGTCACCCATGGGAGAAGAGGTAGGCCAGGAGGTGGGGTCAACTACAGACACCTGAGAGCTGAGCAGGGAACACTCCCCCCCCTCCTCAAATAGCTCCGTGGCCTGGGGCATTGCGCTGCCTGACTGCTCTCTTGGTTCTTTTTTGTCTTTGTGAATAAAACAGCCTTCCCTCTGGAGCCTGCCCCAGCAGTGCTGTGGGTGAGCAGCCTCCCAGTGCCCTCCAGCTGTCAGTCAGAGCAGCTGCCAAGGGAGGGGCACAGAGCCTCACTGTGCACAGAGGGAAGGCCAGAGCAGGCAGCAGGAGAGCCTGCAGGAGCCATCTGAGCAAAGAACTGAACACAGGGACTCGAGTCCCGTCCCCGCGTGTGCCCAGCAGCACTGCTCAGCACGGCAGGAGGGGCCCAGCCCTGACGCCCCCAGCAGAGGAAGAGGCAGGCGCCAGCAGGTGGGTCGGTGCAGTGGAGCAGCGCTCAGCCATGAACAGGAGTGGGGTCTGGCACCGCAGCTGCCCGGAGGAACCATGAACACTGCCAGTGAGGTCAGATGCACAAAGTCACGAGTGCGAGATTTCATTTCCACCCAGCGTGGGAGCAGGCAGTGCTGCAGACACAGGGGATGGTCAGTGCTGGGGCGGGGTGGGTAGTGGGCATGGGCATGGGGAGAGACCGGGAGTGTTGTGGGGTGTGGTTTAAGTGATGAGTGTTTGGGGAGTAGATGTTAGGGGTGGTGACACATGCTGTGAGTGTCGTACGTGTTACCGCGTGGCTAATTCCCTGTTGTGGGAATCCTCCTTCCATGCATGGTTACGGACAGGCTCATCTGGTGGGACTGGGGAGGTGGAAGAGCAGGTGCACTATTCCCTGTGGGAAGGGTGGAGAACTTTCCAGAAGGGAACAAGACCTCTTGTTCAGACTGAGGCTGTGTGGAGGACTGGGCTTCTGAGGGTGGTGGGTCAGGTCCCGGAGCAGCTCAGCCCTGGCCCAGAAGGGAACACGCACTCGGAGGCGTGAGGCACTGAGAAGGGAGGGAAGTGGCAGCATCCATGCAGCGGGGGTCTGGGTGCAGGGGTGAGGCTGAGCTCTCACAGTGAAACATGAGGTCCCTCGGAGCTTCTGGACCTGACCTTGAGTGAAAGCAGAGGTCAGTGTCTTTCCCTGGCTCAGGTGGACCTGCGTGGGCAGCATGTACCTGTGGGATGGGGCCCTCTCTCTGACCCAGAGGACCATGGTTGGGAGTGGTACATCTCCGCAGAGACACTTAGTCACTGCAGCCTGTTTAGCTGGGTCACAAGGCCTTGGCAGACCTGCCCCAAGACACTCCAGAAACCTTGTGATGCAGGCTGGGGAGGATTGTCACTGTCACCTTTAGAAACAGACAAGGAGGGAGGGGACAGACATGGCAGAACTATCCTGAACCTGGAAAGCAGTTCTGGAGGCTCATGAAGGCGATTCCGGGCAGACGGGAACAGCAGGTGCTAGGGCCAGTCCTGTCCCCGTCCAGTGGCAGTGGGGCACGGGCTGAGTGCTGGTGGCACATGGAGGCGCTCACCTGTCACCTTATGAGTGTGGCCTACAGCTTCAGAGCTGCTTCTCTGAGAACCTGTAAGAAGTGTAAGTGTGTGCTCATTGTCAAAGGTGACGGATACGGAGAAGGGACTGGGAGTCAATGCCAAGCAGGCCCCGCGGAGTCGGCATCTCCACATTAGCTGTACCTGCCTCTCTCCCTGGGTTGGGCCTGGATTCGTCTTTATCTCATGCGTGCCAGTAGGCTGTTTTTGAGCTAATTAATTTAAACCAGCATTGTTAAACAACTAGTATTTAGTAGTTTTAACTTTTCCCTTCCGTCTTAAAGAATAAAATGCTTAACTGAGTGAAAAACGACCCTTGCCTGTAAACATGGCAACACCACACAGCTACTGTACGATGGGAGGCAAAGTGGCAGAAAACTGGTCTGTGTGTTCAGACGGGACAGGGGCTGACTCTGCAGAATCAACAGCCCTGGACTGAGAAAAAAAAAATTGGATGTGGGAGTGGAGAGGCTCGGTCTGAGCACGTGTGCTCCTGGTGCAGCCCTGATCGCGGGGCCGGTGCCCAGTAGCACCTGCGCAGCCAAGCCCCCTCGGCTGTAGCTGTGAAAGCCAGCCCCTCTGCTGGCAGAAGGCTTTCGCCATTCGTGGGAAATGGAAACTTTACAAGGGAGGGGGAGGAACAAGATACTAAAGGGCTTTTTGTGTCGGTGCCCTTGAAACCCAAACAGCTTGCTGTCCCCTGGGTGCAAACACGGAGGGCGGGACCATTTTAGACAATATCCGGGAAGATTGTGACCTTCTGAGTACTCAGCCAATGAGGAGAAGAGGGGAGGGACTTGCGCACTAGGGTACACGTGCTTTGTTCTTGCTGTCCTGGGTGTGCCTGTGCACCTGACACCCCTGCTTGCGAGGCCATGAATAAAGCCTCACTGTTCACCCTCTTTGTGTGTCCGGCTCCATCCTTTGATGCGTGAGGTGGTCCCTGGTGGGCTTATTTCCCACAATCTGTGGTCTCTGGAAGCCCCCTGGGGACCTGTCCAGTGGGAATTGGCATAGCAGGAGATTTTTAGACTCTGAAGGGTGCCTACCCCTCTTGCCCAAGGGCATTTCCCTAGATTGGCCCATGGTCGGTCACCCACTGTAGGTGTACCCTGCACACACAGCCTCCCCCAGCCAGCCAGACTCATCAGAACCCTAATACCCAGAGCTCTTCACCCCATGCAGGACCCCAGAGCCTGGGCTGGCTCATGCAGCACCTTCTCTGCCCCCTCCCCCAGGGCAGAGCAGAGCAGAACCCCGCTGCTGATGGCCAGGGCAGTGCCAGGGCAGGTACCAGCAGGCCAGGCAGCTGTGCCTGGTTAGCTGTGTAGGCATCAGGTGTGGTGATCTCCCAGGTAGCAAACCATTGTCATTACAGAAAAGAAGGCCTCAAGGCCCCTCTGAGCCTGGCGGGCCATGTCCTGCATGGAGACACCGAACAGCCTGAGCAGAAAGGACCCCCTGGCTGCCGGGCACCGGCAGTCTGGTTTGGGACCTGCTGAGGCCAGGAGAGGCCTGGGGATGCCAGGATGTCAGGTGACCCCACCCGGGACCACAGCCTGGGGCTTGGGAGGTGCAGGAGTGAGTCCTGGGGGCCCAGGCAGCTGGGCCAGCTGCTGCCCTGGTTCCCAAAAAATGGAATCCCTGGTCCTTCTGGGTTCCTTGTCATTCTCCCTTTGTCCCTGCCCCACAGACCTCAGGGAGTCCAGGGAAGCCCACTCCAGGGAGCCCAGGGACAGGCAGCATCTCGAGGGAATGCTTAAGTTCTCTAGGTAGAGCAGGGAGGAGGGGGCAGAGAGCGAGATGCTGGGCCCCAGGAGGAGCTCCTTCCATGGCAGGGAGCACAGAGGGTGCAGGTGGGGCCACCTGGTGCTGACTTGGGTCCTTGGTGTCCTCTGCACCAGGAAGGAGGGGAGGGTGGGAGGCGTTTGCTTGAGGGTGAGGGGGGGCACTAGTCAGTGTGTCAGGGTGGCCAATTTGGGATTAGAGCAGTGGAGAGAGGGGGCTCACTCAGCCCTGAGCCCTGCAGTCCTCCTGGGGATGCATGAGCCGGGGTGGAACCGGTCCCGTCACTGTGACCCCACACTGTGTTCCAGGAAGGGCACTGTCCAGGAAGATCCTAGGAGGACTGAGGAAGAGACGTCCATGCGGTGTCACAGACGGGAGCAGTGTGCGCCTGTTGGGGCACCTTCTGCAAGCTGAGGCCCAGCCGGCTCAGAGCTGAGTCTCTGGGGGCCAGTGCCCTGGTCAATAAGACCATGTTGGAGAGTGAAGCAGAGAATGGAAGGCCTCTCTGTGTTATTCCTCTCTCTCTGTAATCCTTTCAAATAAATAAATAAATCATAATAAATAAAGCGCCCTCTCTCTGGCACCAGGAACCGAGGGTCAGGAAAAGCACGGTCAATAGGTCTCTCCCACGACATCTGGGCACAGTATGCTTGTCAGGCAGGCCCCACGGGTTCTGGCAGGGTCTGGGTTCACCCTCGGCTCCGTCAATCAGTAGCACACAGAGAAAAGACCTATGAGCTTCGTTTCCTGATCAGGGCAGTGGGACCTCATGCTCCTCTGTCACCGAGGGGTGAGATGCAGAGAGACCCGTGTGAGGACAGGGGCCCTGCAGGGCTCAGTCACCCTCAGCTGTTTGTATCCATGTCGCCAAGGCAGCCATGGCGGCCACCTTGCTCTGGCCACTGCCCACTCTGTCCTGCCCCTCTAGAGTGCCCTGTCCCACCAGGACGTCTGGTTCCATGCAGAGTCTGGGTGGGATGACCTCCGACTGAGCTCCAAGGGTGGTGTGGTAGGGGTCCTGCCAGCAGCCCCTGCCATTGGGAACTGCAGTGACCCCCAGCTCCTGTCCGTGAAGCTGTGGACTCGGCTGTCCTGAGTGTTGACCTCTCCACTCTGGCATCCTCCCACCTGTCACCTGTAGCCCGGGATGGTGCTGGGGTGCACGGTCACCTGGGGCTCCTCCCTGCCAAAATGCACTACACCTGGGCTCCCCTAGTCAGGCGCACCCACCCCACCCACTCCCTCCAGGTGGACTGCACTGGGGCTCCAGGCTGACAGGTGCCCAGGGTGGGTCTGGTGGTGATCTGGGCATTTTCCGGATGGGGGCTCTCCTGTGGATGGTGACGTCTCTGGGTCTGATCCAGGCCATTCCCAGGAACACACCTGTCAGCTTCCCAGTGCCCCGGCTTCCTCCTCACAGCCCAGCCCCAGCCTAGTGGGCCAGCTGAGAAGCCCATTAACAAAATCCCTGGGGCCGGCGCCGCGGCTCACTAGGCTAATCCTCCACCTGCGGCGCCAGCACTCTAGGTTCAAGTCCCGGTCCGGGGGCCAGATTCTGTCCCAGTTGCTGCTCTTCCAGGCCAGCTCTCTGCTGTGGCCAGGGAGTGCAGTGGATGATGGCCCAAGTGCTTGGGCCCTGCACCTGCATGGGAGGCCAGGAAGCACCTGGCTCCTGGCTTCGGATCCACGCAGTAGCCATTTGGGGGGTGAACCAACAGAAGGAAGACCTTTCTCTCTGTCTGTCTCTCTCTCACTGTCGAACTCTGCCTGTCAAAAAAAAAAAAAAGAAAAGAAAGAAAATGCCTGGGCTGTAGCCTCTCAAAGAAGCTCACACCCTTCCTACCTCCTCCCACCCTGCTGTGGTGCACTCTCGCCTCCATGTTTGCCCTTAGGGTCGTGCCCCCACCATGCTCCCCACAGTTGAGGCCAGCATGAGGAGGGGAGGCCACACCTCGGCGCCACCACAGCCAAGACCTGGGCAGGGGCTTCCCTCTCAGAGCTGTTCCCCATCTACAAACCCAGGGTGACAGCAGTGGCTTTCCCATGGGTGACACGTGGTGCCCAGGGCCTGGCCTGGGCCCTGCACATCCCAGGAGGTCAGAGACAGGGCTGGTTACCGTCGTTAGGGTTGTCCAGGATCCACCTGCACAGCGGCCTATCTGAGGTCACGTGGGGGTCATGGACCCAGCCCACTTCCTGTCCTGTGCTGTGGACATCAGGGCTCCCACAGCTGGGCGAATCCCTGCTGTGCTTCTGCCAGCCTCCCCCTGCTGAGCACGGGAACAGGGACTGTGCTGGCTTTTGTGTGAGCATGGCCCCCAACCGGAGGCTCTGTCCTCAGTGGGAGAAAGCCCCCACCCCTGCTTCCTTGTCCCCACTGTGCACTCCTCATCCTGGGAGCTGGGGGCTCCCAGTGTGTGCAGGGAGGGGCAGGCCGTCCCATTCCCTGTCCCTGTGATGTCTGGGGGCGGGGCTCCATCCCATTTCACAGATGGGGACACTGAGGCTGCCATGGGCAGTCCCAGTGCAGGTCAGTTCCATCTGACCCCAGAGCCCACGTCCCTGACCATGAGGAGGCGCTGCCCCAGCCATGACAGTGTCTCCCTGCTGGTTGTCTTCCTCGGCCTTCCCAGCAGTCACTGCTCCCTGTCCAAGACAGACAGCAGTGTCTGTGCCCCAGGGAGGTGTCAGTGTCCCCTCCAGAGGATCTCAGTCCTTGGCGTTGGCCCCGTTCTGCAGAGTTGGGTGGGGACGGCCCGTCCAGGGAGCTCATGGGTCCCGAGTTGTCCCCGGTCCCCTGCCTTTCTCAGCAGTCCCAGCAGTGGTTCCCTGTCTGCGAGTGCTGCTCTCACTGTGCCCCCGGCGTTACCAGTGTCCTTCCGCGTGCTCACCTCCAGGCTGGGCCCATTCTGCAGAGAGCTGGGAGGGGAGCCCCGGCCCGGGGAGCTGGCGCTGCACTGCCCGCACACTTGGCCCTCGGCAGCAGGCTACTTTTTATTGAGCAGCGCAGTAAACATGGAGCAGAACATGAGGAAAACGGGAATGAGTACGGAATAGTAAACGATCATGGGGGAGGGGAGGGACGGGTCTTGCACTGGGGGTGGGGCAGGGGGGACTTCAGGAGCTGGGGCTGGGGGCGGGGCCAGAGCTGCCTCTGCTGCCCCTGCAGCGTCCCTGGCGGCAGCTGGGGACACACTGGGCTCTGGCTCAGCTGCCCCCCACACCCATGGCTCCAGGGCCTCCTTTGCAGCATTCTCTCCGGCCAGGGCCACCACTGGAAGCAGTTCGGTGACCGAGGGCGTGGCTGTGCCCAGGGCTTCCTCGACCACCTGCTCATCTGCCAGGGGCAGACACAGCTCCAGCGGGGCTTCTGGGGGCAGGTCAGGGCTCTGTGGAGGCGCCCCAGCTCCGAGGTCTGGGGCCAGGGCTGACTCTGGTCTTGTCTCAGCTCCGGCACAGGCAGAGCCATCGGGCCCCACTGCCCCCACTGGGAGGTGGGCCTCTGGGGGCCCCCAGGCCTCCACCTGTGCTGTCACCAGCACTGAGGGACTGAGCGCCACCTCACGTGGTTTGTGCTTGCTGGGGAACGCCGCTGACGGGGGCTCCTGGGCTGGGGACAAGTTTGTCCACTGCTCCACCACACACAGGTAATCCGGCGTAGGCGGCCGGTGCATGTGCAGGATGCTGGCAATGCCCAGCCCGCTGTGCTGCGCCAGGGCTGGGGCTGACTTGTCCTGGCCCTAGGAGAGAAGAACAGGGACCCTTTGCACGTGGCAGGAAAGACACAGTCCTGGGGACCCCTCCACACCCTCCCGGCCTGGGCCTCAGGCTCCCCCCAGCTCTTCCCCAGCTCTGGGCCTCAGGCTCCCCCCACCGCCATCCCCATCTCCTCCCCAGCAGGGTAAAGTGGCCCCTTGATTCTTCCCCAACTCCTAGGGGGCAGTTGGCTCCCCAGGTGGGGCCCGGGAGTGGCCTGGCCCACAGAGCCCTGCCCTGGCTGCCAGGCTCACCCTGGCCTTGCTCTGGTAGGAGCACCAGGTGCGTCGGGGGTGAGGGCTGGCCGAGCGTCCCCTCCACTGGGCAAGGCGCCCACAGCAGGGGTTCCTGGGGCCTGGGCCTCGGCATCGCGGGATACAGCAGAGGAACATCTTCCTGAGCGAGTCCCCACCAAGTGTACTGGCTCAGACCCAGCTCTGGAATGTGGGGCTGGTTGCCGGGGCACCCAGCACTGTGAGGTCGTCACCAGTCACGTGAGGTCACTTCCGGAAGCCCCTGTACCGAGCCCCCTCCTCACACAATGTCTCCCCCAAAGGCTTTGTGCTTCCCCTACACCCCCACGCCTTGTGCCCCACTGTCCACTGTTGCACCAGCATAACACACTCCTGCCCCAGTGCAGGGCTGGGGGCAGCCAGTGCCACAGCTGGGAGGAGACAGAGCTGGGCTCAGACCTGCACCCTCCTCCTTGGCACAAGTGTGACCACACACAGGCCACTGTCCCTCTCAGGACATCCCAGCCTCCCATCTGGTCCCTGGGGTGTCCCTGGTGGTCCTGCCCTGTGTCCCAGTGGGCTGACCCCTGTAGAGTCTGCAGCTCTGTTCCTTCTGGGGACTGCTTGGCTTCAGGGGGTGTAGATACAGGGGGCAGGGCTGGGGCGGGGCCGGGGGTGAGGGTGATGGTAGGCAGTAAGGTGGGGTCACCCATGGGAGAAGAGGTAGGCCAGGAGGTGGGGTCAACTACAGACACCTGAGAGCTGAGCAGGGAGCCCCCTCCTCAAATAGCTCCGTGGCCTGGGGCATTGCGCTGCCTGACTGCTCTCTTGGTTCTTTTTTGTCTTTGTGAATAAAACAGCCTTCCCTCTGGAGCCTGCCCCAGCAGTGCTGTGGGTGAGCAGCCTCCCAGTGCCCTCCAGCTGTCAGTCAGAGCAGCTGCCAAGGGAGGGGCACAGAGCCTCACTGTGCACAGAGGGGAAGGCCAGAGCAGGCAGCAGGAGAGCCTGCAGGAGCCATCTGAGCAAAGAACTGAACACAGGGACTCGAGTCCCGTCCCCGCGTGTGCCCAGCAGCACTGCTCAGCACGGCAGGAGGGGCCCAGCCCTGACGCCCCCAGCAGAGGAAGAGGCAGGCGCCAGCAGGTGGGTCGGTGCAGTGGAGCAGCGCTCAGCCATGAACAGGAGTGGGGTCTGGCACCGCAGCTGCCCGGAGGAACCATGAACACTGCCAGTGAGGTCAGATGCACGAAGTCACGAGTGCGAGATTTCATTTCCACCCAGCGTGCGAGCAGGCAGTGCTGTAGACACAGGGGATGGTCAGTGCTGGGGCGGGGGCGGTAGTGGGCATGGGCATGGGGAGAGACCGGGAGTGGTGTGGGGTGTGGTTTAAGTGATGAGTGTTTGGGGAGTAGATGTTAGGGGTGGTGACACATGCTGTGAGTGTCATACGTGTTACCGAGTGGCTAATTCCCTGTTGTGGGAATCCTCCTTCCATGCATGGTTAGGGACAGGCTCATCTGGTGGGACTGGGGAGGTGGAAGAGCAGGTGCACTATTCCCTGTGGGAAGGGTGGAGAACTTTCGAGAAGGGAATAAGACCTCTTGTTCAGACTGAGGCTGTGTGGAGGACTGGGCTTCTGAGGGTGGTGGGTCAGGTCCCGGAGCAGCTCATTCCTGGCCCAGAAGGGATCACGCACTCAGAGGCGTGGGGTGCTGAGGGCGGGAAGTGGCAGCAGCTTTCTGTGGGTGCGGGGTCGGTAAGGTAGAGACATTGTGGGGCTCCGTGTGAACAGGCGGGGTCCTGGGAACTTTCTCAGTCTAATCTGGAGAGGAGGGCAGAGGCCAGTGTCCCTCATGGTTATGTGCATCTATGGGGTGGACTCTCCAATCTGACCCCAGATGACAGTTGGGTGAGTTCCTGCAGAGCCACTCCGTCCTTGCTGTCCCTGGTCCTAGGGTCCTTGGGGGCCTGTCAGACTTGACCTGAGACCCTCCCCAGAGGACACGGTATGATGCAGGGTGGGGAGGATCGTCACCGTCACCTTCCTATACAGGGAGGGATGGTGCGCCTAGCAGGACTGTGCCCTGAGCCCGGCCTATGAGCTGGAAGCTATATTGGGGAGCACATTTTAAAAGTAATAGTTCGGGATCTTGTCTCAAGTTTAGAGAGGCATTCTAAACTTAGACATATACAAGAAAGGCAGTATAGTAAAACTTCAGAATTTTGGGGGAGCAGTGAGAGAATAAGGGAGAAGCGTTCAGAAAGGTGAACTGGGAGTTCCATGCCAGGCAGAGAGCAGATCAGGGGCCACGTGCGCGCGTTCACAGGCTGGAGCCGCGTGGGAGAAGAACCGTGCTGACAGCACGGACCACGAATAGCGTGGTGTCACGTGGGCATCAACAGGGAGAAGTGGCCAAAAGGCCGCAGCCCCAGAGGTGTGCTGGGAACAGGGGTGGTGCCAGGGCGCCCCACGCCTCTTATTTGCTTCCTAACGATGAGTGGTTATGTAGCCTGACTGGTAGGTGAGTGGATGCAGATGAGATCACGTAGGGGCAGTGTGGTTTTCAGCTCATGAATCTGATTAATTTCACCCTATCTGCCTGCCAAAATCAGACAGGGGTTCAGTGGATTCATAATGTGGAGCCCAGGGGTGTACAGGGGAGCAGCGGGTGCTCAGGGCCCACCTGCCGAGGGCCAGCTGCAGTGGGGCGGGGCCTGTGGCCTAAACAACGCCTCCCCTCTGAGTGCTGGCTGCACACAGATGCGGTCACTGTCACCTGATGAGTGTTGTTTCCAAGGGCACTGCTAATTACCCCTTAGCAGCTGCTTCTCTGAGAAAAGTCTGAGTTCCTGGGGGCCTTAGGGGCCCTGTCCTATGGAACTGCGGTTGGCAGGAGTTTCTGAAGAACTGTCTCTGCTTCCTGCCCCTTCAGTCCAAGGTCACCTCTCTGGGTTGGCCCAGGGTCCAGTCCCCTCCTGAAGGGACGTTCAGCACAGGGCTTGGCACCCACCCAGCCATCCTGGGCACAGCCAGGCTCATCAGAACCCCATGGCTAGAGCCCTTCCCCCACGAAGGACCTCAGAGCCCTGGATGACCAGTGCAGTACCTGCTCTGTCCCCTCCCCCAGGGCAGAGCACAGCAGAGGCTCCACTGCTGATGGCCAGCTCAGCACCACGTAGACGCATCCCTGCAGGTCCCTGGGCAGTTGTCTGTAGACAGAGCAGCTGTCCCTGGTCACTCTGCAGGGGCCCAGTGTGGTGGCCTCCAGGGGTGGGATCAGTTATCTACAGAAAGCCACAACACAAGGCCCCTCTGAGCATCCTGATCAGGGAGGGACCCCGGGCTGCCTGGGTACCAGCGGTCTGGATTTGGGACCTACTGTGACCAGGAGAGTCCTGGGGATGCCAGGATGCCAGCTGACCCCTCCAGGGACCATGGCCTGGGACTTGGGCGGTGCAGGGCAGGAGCCTTGGGCTCTGGGAAGCTGGGCTGGCTGCTCTCCTTGTTCTAAGGAAACAGAGTCCCTGGCCCTGCTTGGCTTCTTGTTGCTAAAAGGGAGGCAGCCCTGGAGTAATTTTGGAAAACTGCCTCAGGGCTTGAGAGCACCCAAGCAAGGCCAGAGCTGAGGGGAGGGGTCCCTCTCTGGGGGGCCTGGGGAGAGAAACAGGAGCAGAGCCACACTTGCTGTGCTTGTCAGGGTCCCCCAGGTCCGTCCTGCTGGGCCGGGATCCTGACCCACACCTGTGTCCTCCACAAGGCTCCCCTCCCCACTCCTGCCCTGGCCTCCAGTCTGTGGGGATCTGGGAGCCAGGTGATCCCCACCTGGTCAGCAGACTGGCCAGGTGCCCACATCCGGGCTGGAGCCCACCCTTTGTCACAGCGGCTCCCAGCACAGTTTAGGGCTTTGTCAGGGGCAGCAGCCAGAACAGCAACCCCGACACCAGCCCCACACCAGCTGCCTACATGTTGGCTTACAGCACACCTCCACAGAACCTGCAAGGGGCTTGGTTTCCGGTCATTCTCCCTCAGTCCCTCCCCTCAGACCTCAGGGAGCCCCAGGAAGTCCACTCCAGGGAGCCCAGGGACAGGCAGCGTCTCAAGGGAGTACTTAAGCTATGTAGAGCAGGGAGGAGGGGGCAGAGAGTGAGATGCTGGGCCCCAGGAGGGGCTCCTTCCACGGCAGGGAGGTCAGAGGGTGCAGGTGGGGCCACCTGGTGCTGCCGTGGGTCCCTGTCATCCCCTGCCCTTGGAAGGAGGAGAGGGCAGGAGGGGTTACTTGAGGGTAGGGGGCACTAGTCAGTGTCCCAGGGTGGCCAATGTGGGATCAGAGCAGTGCGTGTAGGGGCTCTTCCCACAGGCTGCCCCATCACTCCTTGCTCATGTGTGACAGGTGACAGGGTGACTTCAGACGGCAGGAGGACAAGGGAAGGAGAGCAATGCTGCTTGGAGTCTGGCTCTGCCCACACCTGGACATGTGGCACTGGGAAGTCCTGAGCCCCAGACCGAAATGCCAGGCAGCAGGGAGACCAAGGAAACCTGAGCGTGGAGGCTGGCTGGAACATTTGTGAGTGTTTTAAATGTATTATTCTTTGTTTGTTTGTTTACTTAAAGAGACAGAGAGACCTCCTGTCATCATATATACTCCTCCAAATGCCCACTACAGCAGGGGTGGAGCCAGGCCAAAGCAGGGGAGCCCAGAACTCCATCCAGTGCAGACAGCAAATGCGGAGCCCTTAACCTGCTGCCCTCCAGGCTGCGCACTGGCAGGAGGCTACAACAGGGGGCGGAGCAGGGAGTGGAACCCGGGCACTGCAGGGGGGATTGCAGTGTGGGATTCCAGGTCTCAAGCAGCACCTCATTCACACGGCCTGTGCCCAGCCCAGATATCTAATCCTTCAACGCAGAAAGCAGAGTGCTGAGGATGTTGAGGGCTAGGGAGGAGACGAGAGGAACCCACTCCCGCTGGAGCGCGCTGGGGTTCTGGGGGGGTACACTGTGTCCAGAGGCACCCCAACACAGGAGCCTTCCCCGGGGAAGGATGCCCTCACTGCCCTGGCGTGACAGCCAAGGCGGGATCTGAAGGCAGGCCATGTGCTGGGGTGGCGCCAGCAGCGGGGCCCACAGCTGCCTACCCAGGTGGGTCTCCCTGCCAGGTTGATGGGAGGCAGGGAATACACCACTGGCTGATTTAAGCTCCATGGCCCCCAACACATGGAATTTCCCGAGTGTCCTCAACTGGATCACTTGGCCGACCTGTTCCTGAGAGCAGGATTCTGTGAGAGGAAACGCAGAATTCAGAAGACCCCGGGGAATCAGGCAGGACCCCTGCAAGCATAAACCTCAGGGTCAGTGGGAGTCAGTGGCTCCAGGAGGGTCCCTTCTGAGACGCAGAGCACAGGCCCCGCCAGGCAACCCAGGTGGGAGCCGCTGAAGAGGGAGTCCCAAGGGTGGGCGTCACAGAGGTGGGGTTCCACAGGGGAGGCTGCCCTGCATTTCTAGGGGTCCCTGCATTGGCTGCCAAGCCTCCTTCTGGCGTCCTCTGTCCCCACTGGGCATTCTGCAAACCTTGTCCCTGCGCATCTCCAGAGCAACTTACAAAGAGAGTTACAAGTCTAGGGGCCTTGGGCCCAGACCCTGTTCTGCCTCTGCTCTGAGAGGAAATGGGCTTTTCCCCATGGGCCTGCCTGGCACAGGTGCCCCAGTGCCCAGCACCACCCTCCGTGCCCTCCTTCTGATCAGAGCCCTGCCCTCCTGCGCAGTGGTTCCTCCTGTGCCCGTGGGTGTCTCCCTCCTGGGAGCTGCAGATCCCTGACTCGGGACACCTCAGCAAGGCGGGGTCCCAGGGACTATGTCCTACTGGGCCAGGCAAGGTCAAGCCTTCAGCCCCTTCCTGACCACACTGAGACCAGGACAGAGCATGTGTGTGGCTGTGGTCCGTGAATAGCCCTGGACCCCGTCCCCAGGAGGCCAGTGATTAAACACCTTCTGCTAAGGCAGACTGAGCTGCCAGGGTCAAGTGGCGCCAGCAGCAGTCCCTCAGCTGAACTCAGTGTCTATTTCCAGGATGACCAAGTTCCCAAAGGAGCAGCAGCCTGCGTCATTGCCCCCTGCGCATCCGACATGCTGAGCCGCGTGTAGTGGCCCTGGGGGCTCTGACCTGTTTTTTTTTTTTAAGATTTATTTATTTACTCATAAGTCAGAGTCACGCAGAGAGAGGAGAGGCAGAGAGAGAGGTCTTCCATCTGCTGGTTCACTCCCCAGATGGCTGCAATGGCCAGAGCTGTGCTGATCTGAAGCCAGGAGCCAGGAGCTTCTTCCAGGTCTCCCGGTTGCATGCAGGGGCCCAAGGACTTGGGCCATCTTGTACTGCTTTCCAAGGCCATAGCAGAGAACTAGATGGGAAGAGGAGCAGCCAAGACTTGAACTGGTGCCCATATGGGATTCCAGCGCCTCAGGCCAGGGCGTTAACCCACTGTGTCACATTGCTGGCCCCTGACCAATTGTTCTTGTTGCCTGCATGTCCGAGGCATGCAGAGCTGGCCTTGCCCCTCCCCTGTGCCCACAGGCCCCCGCCTTCATTCAGAGCCCAGCAGAGTGGACGCCTTGTTGGGGAAGAAGGGTGTGCTCACTCGGCCACAGCTGACCTTCCTCATGCCTGACCTGGGAGGGAGGACCCTGTGGATACCTCAGGCCCTAAGCAAACACAGTGGGATTCGTTCCACTGCAGAGAGCTGCAGGTGTTGAGGTGAGTGGATCCCCTTTGTGAGGGTGCCCACGTGTGGTCTGGAGGCCTGAGGACACCTGTGACTGAGGGGCTGCCCCAGGGACAGGGGGGGCTCTGTGGGTTCCTGCTCCATCTTCTCTGGAGTGCATCCCAAGCCCTCGTCCCTGCACACAGGACACGGGGTACCCAGAGTGTGGCTGAAATGCAGTGAATGTCACAGGAACCAGAACCTTCCTGGAGCCCACCTGGCCTGTGTCCTCCTGAGCTAGTTGCCATCTGATGCCGTGGACCTGGCCTCGCAGGTGAGCACTGCCATCCTCACACACACACACACACACACACACACACACACACACACCACCCTGCCTGCTCCCCTCAGCCTCCTGGCAGCCCTCATGGTCAGCGTGGCAGGAATGGGATGCTCGGGGTCCAGAAGCCTCCAGGCCCCCAGAAGCACTCAGCCGTGTGCCCTGGTCGGGGGGTGGGCTCCAGGAACCCTCCTGGGGAGGGGACCTCACTCAGCTCTGAACCCAGCAGTCCTCCTGGGGATGCATGAGCCAGGGGTGGAACCGGTCCTGTCACTGTGACCCCACACTGTGTTCCAGGAAGGGCACTGTCCAGGAAGATCCTAGGAGGACTGAGGAAGTGACATCCCTGCGGTGTCACGGACGGGAGCAGTGTGCGCCTGTTGGGGCACCTCCTGGAAGCTGAGGCCCAGCCAGCTCAGAGCTGGGTCTGCTGTCCTGCTGACAAGGACGTTAGGCTGTGACCAGGACAAGGCCCCTGAGGAGGGCAGACGTCCTAATCTCTGTTTACTGTAACCCCCGTTCCAGTTCCCCAAAGGTACTGGCATGTCTGGGTGGTCATTCAAATCTCTGTTCTCCATAGGTGTTGACCTGTCTGCGCAGGTATCCTCATCTCAGTTTTCTGTAAACCTGCCCCCCCCATCTCAAGTTCCCTGTACGTGTGGTCTCAGGTTCCTCTCGGGTGGTCCTGAGTCCCGCAGGCTGCAGCTAAGCCCACTATGCTATAACTGGGAAGGCATGATGCTGATGAACCTGTACATGTTGTAAGACACCTGGATCGGATGCCCAGCCTTGGGAGGTGATTCCACTGGGCCTGTCAGTGTTAATAAACTGCTTCTGCTGATCCTCCACCCAGCCTCTCGTGCCTGTTTGAATTAAGGGGATTTCTCCAATCCAGCTTTCTATACACTGCAGCTCCGCCCACTGTGCGCCTCCAGGCAGCTGCTCCCTGGGAGGCTGGAGATGGAGGGGGCCCTCATAGGGTGGGGTCACAGGGCTTCCCAGCACAGGGTCAACTACTGGGCACAGAGTCCCCCTTCTGTCCCACACTGAGCCCCTTCTCCTGGGAGGGCTGTCACCCTGCACCTGCTCCACTCCCCCTCCAATCACGAGGAACATCCCTGAGCCAGGTAGGAGGGGCGGCCCTTCATGGGCAAAGAACACGGCACAATTCCAAGTCTGTTCTCAGGGAATTCTGTCCACTGCCTGTGAAGACGGCCTGGTCATTTCCCACTCCACAGATGGGGAAAGAGAGGCTCAAGCCTCGTCAGGGTCAGCAGCTAGAACGAGGATGGACGGGACAGTGACCCCCGTCTCTGACTATGCACTGTGAGCTCCTTCCTATCCACGGTCCCCCAGTGAGGCCCCCATGGGCCTCAGGGTCTGGAGGTTCATGAACAGCACCCCCTCCCCCCATCCTGGAGCCCTCAGGGAACTGGGAGGTCGTAGCCACCACTATCCTGGGCTGGGTGTGTCCTACACTTGCCCTCAGCTCTCCAGGTCACAGGAACAGCCCACCTGTGAGAGGACACAGCTTCTCTCTGGCACCAGGATCTGAGGGTCAGGGAATGCAGGGTCCAGAGGTCCCTCCCAGGTGCAGCCTCCTTGTCAGGGGAGCCCCACGGGTTCTGGCAGCATCTGGGTTCAGACTCTGCCGCTCAGTAGAGCACAGGGAGCCAGAGCTCCGAGCCTCCGCTGCCTGATGCGTGCGGTGGGGCCATCGTGCACCTCGGTCACCGAGTGAGCAGGAGGGTGAAATGAGACCCGCACGTGAGGACGGAGGCTCTGCAGGGCCTCAGACACTCTCAGCTGCTCAGACTCAGTCTCCCAGTGCAGCCGTGGCTTCCACCCTGTTCTTGCCTCTGCCCCCTCCCCCTCTGCCAGGGAGTTCCCCTATCTTGGACCTCACTGTTGCTCTGAGAAGTCTGGCTCTCCATAGGTTCCATGGTTCCCAGGCTTCTGCTGTCAGATCCCCTGGTGTCTGGGGCTTGAAATGACCCTGAGACTCAGGACCTTGGACTGGTGGTCGTTGGCTGTCCTGGGTGGTGTGCCACGTACTGTGGGTGCCCTTCCATGTGTCACCTGCAGCCTGGCCCAAACTGGGGTGCACAGTTGCCTGGGGCTCCTCCCTCCCAAGGCAGCCAAACTAAGTTACTGTGGGCTCCCCTGCTCAGGCTCTTCCACCCCCCCCCACTCCCTCCAGGTGGACTGCACTGGGGCTCCAGGCTGACAGGTGCCCAGGGTGGGTCTGGTGGTGATCTGGGCATTTTCCAGATGGGGGCTCTCCTGTGGATGGTGACGTCTCTGGGTCTGATCCAGGCCATTCCCAGGGACACACCTGCCAGCTTCCCAGTGCCCCGGCTTCCTCCTCACAGCCCAGCCCCAGCGCTAGTAGAACAGCTGAGAAACCCATTAAGAAAATCCCTGGGGCCGGCGCCTCGGCTCACTAGGCTAATCCTCCACCTGCGGCGCTAGCACTCCAGGTTCAAGTCCCGGTCCGGGGGCCAGATTCTGGCCCGGTTGCCACTACTCCAGTCCAGCTCTCTGCTGTGGCCCGGGAGTGCAGTGGAGGATGGTCCAAGTGCTTGGGCCCTGCACCTGCATGGGAGACCAGGAGAAGCACCTGGCTCCTGGCTTCGGATCTGCGCAGTAGCCATTTGGGGGGTGAACCAACAGAAGGAAGACCTTTCTCTCTGTCTTTCTCTCACTGTCGAACTCTGCCTGTCAAAAAAAAAAAAAAAAAAGAAAAGAAAAGAAAGAAAATCCCTGGGGCTGATGCCTCTCAGATAAGCTCACACCCTTCCTGCCCCCTCCCACCCTGCTGCGGTGCACTCTGACCTCCGTGTTTGCCCTTAGGGTCCTGCCCCCACCATGCTCCCCACAGTTGGGGCTCAGCATGAGGAGGGGAGGCCGCACCTCAGCCCCACCACAGCCGAGACCTGGGCAGGGGCTTCCCTCTCAGAGCTGTTCCCCATCTACAAACCCAGGGTGACAGCAGTGGCTTTCCCATGGGTGACACGTGGTGCCCAGGGCCTGGCCTGGGCCCTGCACATCCCAGGAGGTCAGAGACGGGACTGGTCACCGTCGTTAGGGTTGTCCAGGATCCACCTGCACAGCGGCCTATCTGGGGTCATGTGGGGGTCATGGACCCAGCCCACTTCCTGTCCTGTGCTGTGGACATCAGGGTTCCCACAGCTGGGCGAATCCCTGCTGTGCTTCTGCCAGCCCCCCTGCTGAGCACGGGAACAGGGACTGTGCTGGCTCTTGTGTGAGCATGGCCCTGACCCGAGGCTCTGCCCTCAGTGGGAGAAAGCCCCCACCCCTGCTTCCTTGTCCCCACTATGCACTCCTCATCCCGGGAGCTGGGGGAACCCAGTGTGTGCTGGGAGGGGCAGGCCGTCCCATTCCCTGTCCCTGTTATGTCTGGGGGCGGGGCTCCATCCCATTTCACAGATGGGGACACTGAGGCTGCCATGGGCAGTCCCAGTGCAGGTCAGTTCCATCTGACCCCAGAGCCCGCGTCCCTGACCATGAGGAGGCGCTGCCCCAGCCATGACAGTGTCTCCCTGCTGGTTGTCTTCCTCAGCCTTCCCAGCAGTCACTGCTCCCTGTCCAAGACAGACAGCAGTGTCTGTGCCCCAGGGATGTGTCAGTGTCCCCTCCAGAGGATCTCAGTCCTTGGCGTTGGCCCCGTTCTGCAGAGGGCCCGTCCCAGGAGCTCACGGGTCCCGAGTTCTCCCCGGTCCCCTGCCTTTCTCAGCCGTCCCAGCAGTGGTTCCCTGTCTGCGAGTGCCACTCTCACGGTGCCCCCTGCGTTACCAGTGTCCTCCCGCGTGCCCACCTCCCGGCTGGGCCCATTCTGCAGAGAGCTGGGAGGGGAGCCCCGGCCCGGGGAGCTGGCGCTGCACTGCCCGCACACTTGGCCCTCAGCAGCAGGCTACTTTTTATTGAGCAGCGCAGTAAACATGGAGCAGAACATGAGGAAAACGGGAATGAGTACAGAATAGTAAACGATCATGGGGGAGGGGAGGGACGGGTCTTGCACTGGGGGTGGGGCAGGGGGGACTTCAGGAGCTGGGGCTGGGGGCGGGGCCAGAGCTGCCTCTGCTGCCCCTGCAGCATCCCTGGCGGCAGCTGGGGACACACTGGGCTCCGGCTCAGCTGCCCCCCACACCCATGGCTCCAGGGCCTCCTTTGCAGCATCCTCTCCGGCCAGGGCCACCACTGGAAGCAGCTCGGTGACTGGGGGCGTGGCTGTGCCCAGGGCCTCCTCGACCACCTGCTCATCTGCCAGGGGCAGACACAGCTCCAGCGGGGCTTCTGGGGGCAGGTCAGGGCTCTGCGGTGGCACCCCAGCTCCGAGGCCTGGGGCCAGGGCCGGCTCTGGTCTTGTTTCAGCTCCGGCACGGGCAGATCCATCAGGCCCTACTGCCCCCACTGGGAGGTGGGCCTCTGGGGGCCCCCAGGCCTCCACCTGTGCTGTCACCAGCACTGAGGGACTGAGCGCCACCTCAGGTGGTTTGTTTGTGCTGGGGAACGCCCCAGACGGGGGCTCCTGGGCTGGGGACAAGTTTGTCCACTGCTCCACCACACACAGGTAATCCGGCGTAGGCGGCCGGTGCATGTGCAGGATGCTGGCAATGCCCAGCCCGCTGTGCTGCGCCAGGGCTGGGGCTGACTTGTCCTGGCCCTAGGAGAGAAGAACAGGGACCCTTTGCACGTGGCAGGAAAGACACAGTCCCGGGGACCCTCCACACCCTGGTGGCTCTGAGCCTCAGGCTCCCCCCCTCCTCCCCAGCTCTGGGCCTCAGGTTCCCCATCCTCCAAACCCCACCTCCTCCCCAGGCGGGTGAAGTGGCCCCCTGATTCTTCCCCAACTCCTAGGGGGCTGTGGGCTCCCCAGGTGGGGCCCGGGGAGTGGCCTGGCCCACAGAGCCCTGCCCTGGCTGCCAGGCTCACCCTGCCCTTGCTCTGGTGAGAGCACCAGGTGCGTCGGGGGTGAGGGCTGGCCCAGCGTCCCCTCCACTGGGCAAGGCGCCCACAGCAGGGGTTCCTGGGGCCTGGGCCTCGGCATCGCGGGATACAACAGAGGAACATCTTCCTGAGGGAGTCCCCACCAAGTGTACTGGCTCAGACCCAGCTCTGGAATGTGGGGCTGGTTGTCGGGGCACCCAGCGCTGTGAGGTCATCATCAATCACGTGAGGTCACTTCCTGAAGCCCCTGTACCGAGCCCCCTCCTCACAGAATTTCTCCCCCAAAGGCTTTGTGCTTCCCCTGCACCCCCACGCCTTGTGCCCCACTGTGCACAGTTGCACCAGCATTACGCACAACTGCCCCAGTGCAGGGCTGGGGGCAGCCAGTGCCACAGCTGGGAGGAGACAGAGCTGGGCTCAGACCTGCACCCTCCTCCTTGACACAAGTTGACCACACACAGGCCACTGTCCCTCTCAGCACATCCCAGCCTCCCATCTGGTCCCTGGACCATTTGCCAGTAAGGCTGGCACCCTCCCCTGTCCTGAGGTGGAAGCTGAGGAGCAGGAGCCCCCATCACACCCTGGGACAGGGCGCCCCTGCTCTCTAAGGTGCGCAAGGGTGAGCCACCACCCGCCCCGAGGGCCAACTGCACCCACCCGCACCTGGAGAGTGGTTCCACGTAGAGCCCAAAGCTGAGATGAGCTGCCAGGCTCAGGGGCTCGTGTGCACCTAGGGCTGTCTGCTCTGTGTGGCTGATGGTGGCTGACACCAATGCCCGTGTCACAGCTCTGCTGTGCACTCCGGAGTAAGCCCTGGGGTGGCCCTGGTGGTCCTGCAGGATCCAGGGCTGACCAGTGCGGAGTGGCTGCTGAGTCACAGCCGGATCCCCAGGGAGTTGGGAACAGGGCCAGGCTCTCTGAGGTCAGTGAGCAGCCTGGAGTCTCCCCATCACGCACTGACTTTTCTGCTCCTTGCTGTTGTTGACTGTTCCTCAG